CAAAAATACGACGTTAAAATGAGGCAAATTAGTTGTTACACTTGTTCAAAAACTCTAAGTGGCTTTCCTAAACATCTTTCCAAAGTGAAAAGGATCTCATAAGCTTGAGTAGAAATATGTCACTTAAAAGGAGATATTATAATGCAAGGCCTTTGAGAAACAATAGCATAAAATTTATCTACACATTTAAAATTGCAAAGAGATGATATTCTGGAGAATGCAACAACTATAGAGACAGAGTCATTAGGGAAATATGAATCAAATCCACAGTAAGAGGCCACCTCACACCTATTAGGATGGCTGCTATTAAAAAAACAGAAAGGTTGGCCAGATGCTGTAGCTCATGCCTGTAATCTTAGCCCTTTGGTAGGCCAGGGTGAAAGGATCATTTGAGTCCAAGAGTTCAAGACCAACCGAGGCAAAATAGCAACCCCTCCATCTTCACACACACATAGACACACTAGCTGGGCATGAGGGAGGGCACACACCTCTAGTCCCAACTACTCCGTAGGCTGAGAGAGGAGGATCCCTTGAGCCCAGGAGTTCAGGACTGCAGTGAGCTATGATTGCACACTGTTTTCCAGCCTGGGTGAAGAATAAGACCCTGCTTCTAGAAAAGTAAATGAAAATAAATTTAATTCCTCCCTGCCTCCAGAATATAACATGTGTTGGTGAAGATGCAGAGAAACCAGAATTTTTGCACACTATTGGTGGAAATGTTAAGATGATATAGGCTGTGGAAAACACTATGGCGGTTCTTCAAAATATTACCAGATGAATCAGCAATTCTATGCATATTCCTGAAAGAACTGGAAGCAGGAGCTCAAGAAGGTATCTGTATATCCCTGTTCATAGCAGCACTATTCATATTAACTAAAAAGTATGCAGCAGTCCGACTGTCCATCAATGGATGAACGTATAAATAAAATGTGATGTATGTATGCAATGAAATACTATTCAGCTTTAAAAAGGAAGGAGATTCTGCAATGTGCTACAACATGGGTGAATCTTCAGCACACTATGCTAAGGGAATCAGCCAGTCACAAGACACATGCTTTCTGATTCCACTTAGATGAAGCACCTAGAGTGGTCAAGTTCACAAAAACAGAAACTACGGCAGAATAGTGGTTGCCAGGTACTGCAGGGAAGAGGGAATGAGGAGTTAATGGATGGAGTTTTACAGAATGAAAAGAGTTTATGGAGATAGATGGTGGTGATGGTTGCACAGCATTATAAATATATATAATACAGCTGAATTGTAAAATTAAAAAATGCTCAAAATGGCATAAGATATGTGCATTTTACCACAATAAGAAATTATAAGGACAGTAAAAAGATCGGTAGTTGCCAGCAGTTGAGGAGAAGGGAGGGGTGAATGGGTAGAGCATGGAAGACTTTCAGGGCAGTGAAAATATTCTGTATAATACAGTGGTAGAAATTTGTCATCACACACTTTTCCAACCCCATTGATTGTACACTAGGAGTGAATGTAAACAATTAACTAGGTGATAATGATGCAACAAATGTATCAGCTGGAGGGGGGAGGGGGGATTTTGGAAATCTCTATACTTTCTGCTCAATTTTGCTATGAATATAAACCTGCACTGAAAAATAAAATCTATGTAAAAAACTGCAAACAGAAGACCTAAGTAAGGCAAAGATGACACGTCCTGGCTTCCTTTGAGTTCATTTCACAATCTAGACATTTTTCTGGCCTATAAATTTGCCCAATCAGAACTACATGAGCTGATTTGTGTAAATCCCATTGACTTTTTCATTTTGAAGTTGTACCTGAAGTCAAATAATGGAAGTGATTAATTCCTTCAGGCAAAAATCAGCCGATAATTCACAAAGCTTCATACTATTTTTAGTCTTCTGCTTGAGAATAAATTCAAACTATCCTAATTCTATTAACATCAAAATAAAAGCTTTATTTTTAAAGAGGCTTATTTAAAATGAGAATCCAAATAAAAGCCTTAAAAGTTTTCTATTTTGACTTAGCAGAAGACATGGAATCTCTGTTCGAGCAAGCTTATACAAAGCCAATTGTTTAATGCCAAATCTTCACTCAGACAAGACAGGCTGGACTCTGCTGCGGTTAAAAATAAAAAAGCACATCAAAATCTCAGTGGCTTAACATAATAAAAATTTACTCTTTGATCATTTAAAGTCCACTATGGATCCAGATGACCTCTATGTGGTCACTCAGCAATCAAGGCCACTTTGATCTTGTGGCTCCACCATTTCATCTGAGGCCTTCTCCACAAAGCCACCTATCTAGTCTGGGAGTGACACACACCACTTTCACTCCCTCAAGTTTTAACAGCTCCAAACTAGCCACTGTTAACCTCTAAGAGGGCTGAGAAGTGCAGTTTTCTTTATGCTAGGAAGGAAAGTAGTATTAATATTGGTAAGCACTGGTAACATCACCAAAATTCTTGCATCTGCATAATATCAAGGCTAAATGTAGAATGCTAACTTTTTAAAACTTGAGGGTACAAGTTTTAGGTTACAATGTTCCCACTTCCAAAGTAAAGTTCAAGTTGTAGAAGAGCCCTTTGCCAGAACCTGCCAAATGCCCCCCTTCCTTCTTCCCCCTCCCCTCTCCTCACCCTTCTACACTATTGCTACACTATTCTTATGTTTTATCATTTGTATGAGCATGTAATTATTTATATATTGGCTTCATATTAGTATTGAGTACATTGGATTTTTTTTTCCATTCTTGAGATACTTTTTATAGGAATGTGTTTCAGCTCAATCCAGGTAAACATAAAAGATGTAAAGCTTCCATCGTTTCTTATGGTTGAATAGTATTCTATGGTATACATATACCACAGTTAATCCATTCATGGGCTGATGGGCATTTGGGTTGCTTCCACGACTTGCCAATTATAAATTGAGCTGCAATAAACATTCTGGTGCAAATGTCTTTCTGGTAAAATGTTTTTTGTTCTTCTACGTAGATACCTACTAATGGGACCATGGGATCAAATGGAAGGTCAACTTTAAGTTCTTTGAGAATAGAATGTTAACTTTTAACTCAGTAAGGGCATTTCTGCTAAGAATTAAAATAAACTATATCTGATGACCTATCAATTCTAGCACAGGTTCTGGAGAATCTAGCAAGAAAAAAAAAAGCTAACGTGGTACTTAAACTGGTTATTCCAAATATACCAGCTTCAGTGAAGCTGACACGTGACAGATGAGCAACAATGGTAGACCTTTAATTCTTTTTTTTTGGCCAGAGCCAGGTTTGAACCCACCACCTCTGGTATATGGGGCTGGCATCCTACTCCTTGAGCCACAGGCACCGCCCAAGACCCTTAATTCTTAAACTGCTATACTCAGGCCTTCTGAAGTATAGGTCAAACGTGTACAAGGTCAGACAAATTAAGTTTGGAAACTCATCCTAGGAAAAATATTACATACTTCATTGTTGAGTATCACTATGGTCACCTTCAAAGTACTCCCCTTGGGAAGCTATCCAGTGATGCCAATGGCTCCTTTTCTAAGACGAGTTTGTGAACCTAATTGTCAGACCTTGTATGATGACAGCTCTGATGGCAATTCCAGAAAAAGGGTTCTAAAATTGCCCTGAAGGGTACACTAGGTACTGGGATCAGTGCATAGCTTCCCAGTGGGAGTACTTGGAAGGTGACCATAGTGATATTTAACAAGGAGCTATGTAGCACTTTTTCTAGGATGAGTTCACAATCTTAATTGTTTGACCTATACTTCAGATAGCAGCATAAGCAAACTCTCATACAGTGTGAAAGTTTGCAATTTGCAATCACACCTCAAATGAGCAGAAATGGGGCAGTAGAAAGATAAGAAGGTGAAGACAATTGTATCCGAAAGAGCTTCAGGGCCTCTCAAGTACCAATAGGTACTTGCTGCGCCCCTAGTATGCTGTGTGTGCTATATATGACACAACTATATATAGTGTGAATAATTATTAACTGAATGCATAGCTGACCTCTTTACCCACAAATAAAAGTAGTTAAAAAAAAGAAAAAAAAGAACAACTATCTGTGGGTCAGAACTAAAAAAAATTAATTCCTCATTTTTCCCTACCCCAGCCCCACCAAAGATGAATTAGTTGCTCTCCACTGAATGATGCTGAAATTCTCCATTTAGGGAAGGAGAAATGCTTATCAAGTATGATTTTAATTTTAGTATCACTGATATTGAGCTTTACTGCTGATAACTAGCCAGCTCAAATGGCAATTTCAAACTACATAACCGTTATTTCTACCCCCAAACAGCAAAACTATATTCACTACAAGAACAATTAAAATGTGTCAGATATACATTTAATTATAACATGATTTTTATTTTTTCTTAAAAAAAGCAAAATAAGAATATGCAGGATGAATAATTTAACAGTCTTAAGAAATTCACTACCTAAGGCTGGGCATGGTAGCTCACGCCTGAGCTCACAGGTTCGAGACCAGCCTGAGCCAGATTAAGTCCCTGCCTCTAAAAATAGCCTGGTCTTATGGTAGGCACCTGTAAGCCCCAGCTACTCAGAAGGCTGAGGCAAGAGAATCGCTTGAGCCTAAGAGATTGAGGTTGTTGTGAGCTATGATGCCAAGCACTCTACAGAGGGTGACAAAGTGAGACTGTCTCAAAATAAATAAATAAATAAATTCACTACCTAAATAAAGGAACAGATGAGGCAGATAATGTACAATACAACAAAATGTGCTAAATTTTAGAGTTGAACTGGAAAATGAAAGAAAAGCAAACAAACATATAAAAAGATAGGACATTTCATTTTTAATTAGTCAAAAATGAAAAGGGTCTTGGACAATGTCAAATTCCACTCACCATAATGCTATTACATTATGCTATACATTAAATATAATTACTATCTATACATATGCAAAAATATAAAGTTCTATTTCATACAATAAAACCCTTTATAGAAACCATTTTAAAATTAAGCAGACCTTCTCAGCATTAATATGTGAGGTATAAGTCCTCCTAAAAGGTTCCTTTAAAGGTTTTAAAACAAAATGCTAAACCTAGAAACACTGTCCTTTCTGTCAGTTCCCAAATTAAATCTACTTAGAACAAAACCAAAAATTGATAGCTTAGTCACATAGTACTTAAATAATATTGTTCAGGCATCTCTAAAATTCTCCATTTTTTTCAAGTATGGAATTAGAACTCAAATATTCCACGATACAGTACTAAACAGATGGAGTACTCAGGAAAGATTCTGCTGTCATATGGCACAATATTCATGTTTTATTTCTTCAATACGTTTTGAAATAAATATCAGGTTTTTGTTGTTTTTCTTCTAAAAGGTCAAAATTATATTCTACATTATGATAATTCTGACTGTGGTAAGACTTAAGAGTGTAAAATACAACATCAATATTTTATCACAAAAGTAAAGCTGGTAACAAATTATAAAAAGGATCCAGTACTCCCCTCAGACACTCAGGAATTAAAGCTCATCATGATAGAAATAGTCATCATGGAGCTGTCTGCCATAATCTGTGGCTTCACTGGTAAGAAACAAGTCCTGGTTTTCTAGAATTTCTTCTTCAGAGAGCTTTTTGTCACCATCCAAATCCATTTCATCAATTAGATGAAGAGCCTTTAAAACAAAATAAAAAGATGTCAGGTGTAATAAGTATTTTCAGCAAGATGTTCCCAATTTAATGTGATTTGACTTGTCAAACCCATCTAGGTGTGCACATACTATTATTGTCTAAGTATCTAAAAATATTACACACTGTAACTGGGTCTGTCTACTGTTTTTCTCATTATCTCCTTTCCTGATTCCTGCTGCCTCCTCTCCAATAAAATCCATTCCAGGATATATTAAGGTTAAGCAAAATATAACCACTTGGAGACTCTGTAGGTAAATACAATTAGTATTCTATTCACTGTACTATAAAATTAATACATAACAGAATCTTAATTTCCTCATCCCCCAAATAACTCAAATAGCTCATGAATTCAAAACATAGCAATGCATCAAACCTAAGTAACTCCATTACTTCTTTCTTTGGCTTAAGATTTTGAACTTCTTTTCTAATCAATAGCACCAAATTTAAGGGGTCTGGGGCTAGGAGGAAATAGTCATTCTGTAAGGCTTACCTCCTCTTGTGCAATGCCCTGATTATTCGGTACTACCCAAGATAACAGCTCTTGGGGATCAAGCCTGCCATCATTATCTTTGTCATAATCATTCACGAATCTGTCTTTCTCAACAAGTATCCATTCTGGATCTTCACTTGCAGCTTAATATAAAAAAACAAATATACATACACAAGAATATCAATCATATGTATCCAATAAGAAGTTTGGTATATCCCTAGAATAAAGGAAGTGAATTTAAAGTTTACTACCAAAAGGAAGCCCCATTAAACAGAACAACTAAACTGAAAAGTTCGGAAAATAAGTACAAATATATAGGAATTTTCAAAAGTGACACTTGGCTCAGCGCCTGTGGCTCAAGTGGCTAAGGCGCCAGCCACATACACCTAAGGTGGCGGGTTCAAATCCAGCCCAGACCCGCCAAACAACAATGACGGCTGCAACCAAAAAATAGCCGGGCATTGTGGCGGGCGCCTGTGGTTCCAGCTACTTGGGAGGCGGAGGCAGGAGACTCGCTTGAGCCTAGGAGTTGGAGGTTGCTGTGAGCTGTGAAGCCACGGCACTCTACCCAGGGGGATAGCTTGAGGCTCTGTCTCAAAAAAAAAAAAAAAAAAAGTGACACTTAAGTCTAAATAACTCACTGTTTAAAAACCATGGCATATTATCACAAACTAGTAATTTTGTTAACTGGTGCCACCTGTTCTGATAGCTAGTTTCCCTAAATATTAGTTGGGTAATGTTTTTATGTACATTATATGACTGTAGAAATTTTCCTATGGGTTGTCACAAAGTAAACTCATGTTACTTATTTATTTTTTTTTTTGAGACAGAGTCTAACTTTGTTACCCCTGGTAGAGTGCTGTGGCATCACAGCTTATAGAGACCTCAAACTCTTAGGCTTAAGCGATTCTCTTGTTTCAGCTTCCCAAGTAGCTGGGACTATAGGTGCCCGCCACAATGCCTGGCTGTTTTTAGAGACAAGGTCTCACTAAGGCTGGTCTCAAACTCTTTTGGGCTAAGGCAATTTGCCTGCTTCACCTCCCAGAGTGCTAGGATTTCAGGTGTGAGCCACTGCATCCGGCCTAAACTCAATTAGTAAAACTGGTAACCAATTTTAAAATGGTAATGTTTTATGCAAAAATATTGGAAAAAAGCTGCTTATAGTAGTGTTCTCAACCTTCCTATTGCCACGGCCCTTTAATACAGTCACGACCCATAGGTTGAGAACCACTGGCTTATAAAAAGGCAAATTCCTAATTTCAAATACTTTGTCATCTTCTACAGTTTACACCAGTATTTACGGTACTTTATGTTCCTTTCTCTATTAAATAGATCTATATGCAAAGGTATAGGATTTTGTCTAAAAATATCAACCATTCCTTCCTTATTTCAATTGACAATTACATTATATATGAAAAGGAAAAAAACGTTTGCATCTGGACATGGAAGTATAAGGGAACAAGACAGTATTCTTAGACAAACTGTAAATCCATTTATCGACTATACTTCAGTTAACGTAGCAGAACAGAGAGAGCGGGCACAGCTCCTTGTGCTACATATTCCTGTCAGTGAGCGCTCTCAACCAGCAGGGTTCTTTCAACTTTCCTTCTTCTTTAATTCCATTCTAGTCACATTCCCCCAGGTGACTTACTTGGATCCCGTCTGTAATCACCAAGAAATTCTTCCAAACTAACAAATCCATCACCATTTTTGTCATGTTCTTCTAAAGCCTCTTGAATGACAAATTCCTATAGCACGTTCATTAAAAAAAAGAAAAATTTAGTCACAAAATTTTGAATCTCATCAATATTGATTCAATCCTACTACAGAACTTCTTCAGGAATAATCATTTCAGTCATCCATACTTGCAGGGCAATCTTTCTCAACACTGGAATTCAGAAACAAGCCTAAACCTGCAAGTTCTAAGTAGCTATAAATTCAACACCCATATGCTTCTGACACTGTTGAAGAACTCCACTTTCACTTCACTCTCCTAAATGTCTTCAGCATTAAGCTCACGCTCCCTCTCGAGGATGGAACCTCTTACTACTCCTAACTTCTTGATCTCCATGTGCCCTTCAATCCATTAACAACCCTAAAAGAATACTTACCTTAGGTTACTTTGCAAAGAACTGTTGTCCTACCTGAAACGTGCCAGCTCCTGAAAAAATCTCAACCTCCTTGCTTCCCCTTCCACCAAACCTACCCCATTTATCCCAAATTGCCCTGATCTGTTCCTCACTCTTCTCAAGGGTTCTTAACAACAGTCACGCCTTCTCCCTAATCACGAGAGCAGGCTCTTTCCAGCTCAAGCTGCTTCACTGTTTCCCTCATTACCTTCCTATCTCCTCTTATGCCTTTTTCTTATGCCAATCCCCATCCTGTATAGCAGACCCACATCACTTTCTCCTTCTTTCTTCCAGAACCATAAAGTCTAAAAAGGAAGACACAAAAACATAAGCCTCATACTTAAAATTTATTTTTGCCATTTCCGTGGGCCCTCACTGCAGCTTGGAGATCTGCCTTTGCCTCAGTTTCCTTAACATGCTCTCTCTCTACAGCTATTTTTTGAAATCTTCACTTCTACTTTCAAACCTCCCTGCAACCTTCCCTAATGTACTCCTGGCAAGGATCCTCCTATTTTTCCAAACATAATACAAGTCTTGGAAATGTTTCCCAGTTTACCAGCATTATATCCTCTTAACTGGCTCTATTTTTGTGCCTATTCCTCTCATTCTTCTGTTCAATCTCGAGAGTTAAAACTCTTTTCTCTAGTGCAAAGCCTTAGACTGTCTTCCTTCATCCCAAACTTTACCACTTCCCAAGAGCTTTCTTTCACTCTTAGCTCCTGACTCTCCCAAGTCTTCAATCTCTTCTCCATCTGCTCCTCCTAATTCCTTTCGGCACACCTGGGACTTGGGCACTCTCTTTCACTGCCATCCTGGGTTTTTTTGCTTCCCTGCCTCTCATACTGTTCTCATTTCCCACTGTCTCCTTCACAATACCTTTCAATCTATATTCTAGCATCAGAAACATAATGAAAATATATTCTGGAAAGGCTCCAATTCTAGTCTATATCTGTATGAAACAGCACTTAAATACCAGTTGGTGTTTTTTTTTTTT